GTGGACTAGAAATTTTTCTGGTCTGTGAAGCCCAGAAAAATTGTAATGAACTCCCTTAAGCATGCTTTTCTCTAGAGCGGGGTATGTATTAGTGTAGAGTTCATGTTGTTTTTCAAAGTGGTTTTTGCCATAACTAGAGCTGACTTGTTATTCGTCTTTCTCCTGAAGCAGGTAGGGCTTTTAAAATTTTTTCTTTATTTTTATTTTTGGGGAACTGCTCAGCCTGGGGAGAAACTAGGGGAGATGAGAATCCTTGTAATGCCGACGGGTTGCTGAGCTGGACACAGGAACAGGCTGGAGAGCAGGTGTGTGGGAGACACTGTCTATGGCTCAACCCTGCCACACATCCTTGAGGGTCACCCTCAGTTCTCAGGGGTGCAGTAGTCTAAGGTCCACTCTCATGAAGATGACCCGCGTCTGTTGGAATCTTCAGATGTGGGAGAGATTGGGTTGTGATATACAATGCATTTCTTATTGTGGATCTTGGAGAAATTTAAAAGATACTTTTCTAGAGAAGGATGGGAAAAAGCTGAGTCAAAAAGAAAAAGGCAGCTTTTCTAATGTAGCTAATGAACCCATTCTGTAGGCTTCACTGTGATCTGTTTCTAGTCTCTTTTATTGTTGTGTTTTTTATGAAATATTTTGGGAAAAATAATTGCCCTCTAAATGTAGTCGATTAAGTTTTAATGCCACAAGCGTTAAAGTGTGTGTATCCTGACTGTCTCTCAAGCAGAGACGTTATTCCAACTCTGTGCTGTCCAGTAGAAATACAACATTAATATAAGCCACAAATGCAATTTTATTTCCTTGTAGCCCCTGTGAAATCAATTAAAATAGTATGTTTTATTTATCAAGTTGCTATCGTATCAATGTATAATCAATATAAAACATTATTTGAGAGCTATTTTACTTTCTGTAGTAAGTGTGGTGTGTGTTCTATACGTACAGCACACATCAAACCGAGCAGTCACATTTCAAGTGCTCAATATCACAGGGGGCTTGTGGCCACCCTGTCATATTATACAATGCAGCGGTAATTCATTTAGGCGCCTACTAGAAGGATAGGAGGACCTGCATCCTGCCTTTCCCCTTGGGGGTATGTGTGCCTTTTACTTTGCCATGGAGGGAACAGGAGCCAACCCTTCTGAGCTCCTGCTGAGCACTGGGCAGGGGTCCAGGCACTTTAATTACTCTATTTCCCTTTGCCCTCACAGCAGCCCTGTGAAGTGGGTGATGGTATGTCCACTTTATTGATGACAAAATGTGGCCCAAATAGGTTGAGTAACTTGTCCAAAGGGACCCAGTTTGGCACATGGTAGATCGGAGCTGCATTTGAACCTGGTTCGGCCGGTTCCAATGCTTGTTCTCCCCATTGGTCCACATGGCTCCCACAGCACGCATGGAAGGGTCATCCTGGAAGACGTCTGTCCGAGCCCCTGTTTGCATAGGCAAGGGGGATCGAGTTGTTGCAGGGCACAGAAGTATTTCATGGTGCGAACTGTGATCTGGGAATCAAGTAACTTTGTTCTGATGATAGGAATGCATTTTAAAACATTACTCAAACCATGTAGAAGGATCAAAGCAGAAATGGAAAGTCCCGTAATCCCAGTCCCGTGAGTTAAGCACTGACTTCGGTTTGGTGATATCCTTCTATGTGTTTTTCTCTGTACGTACAGTCTCTTTCCTCCAACCCCTCCCAGAAATGGCACGAAATATCATGCTGCTTTGCAGCTTCCCACCCCCTCCCCTCTTCAGGGTGTCAGGGACATCTTTCCACGTTGTCCAGCCCGGCGAGGTGGTGATGTTCTTTTTCTGACCACCAGGCGGCTGAGGCCTAGAGCGATTGATTAAAAGTGGCCCAAGTCTTCCAGCTGGGAGGGTGAAGGTGGGGAGGCAGTCAGCTCATATTCATGCTCTTTCACTCACAGCCATCCCAGTTTAGCCTCCAGCCATCTCTTCTCTCTGGTTTTTCCTTCCAAGGGTTCCTTTCTCAGAGCTTTTCTGTGTGATTGAAGGTCCTTCCTTCTTTAGAAAACCTGATGAGAGTTGGAGCCGGAACTACTCCTGGCAGTTGCTCATTTCTGGAACTGCTTCTAGCTTCTTTCTTGGTCTCTTTCTCCTTTTGTGGCCTCTGGATTTTACTTTATTTTTGGTGAGATAAAAGCTTTCTTAGTAACATTTCCCTCCGTTTTTGTAGTTCCCAGTGACCTGACTGCCGAGGAGCGGCAAGAGCTGGAGAACATCCGACGACGCAAGCAGGAGCTGCTGGCCGACATTCAGGTGGGAGATGGCAGGGTGGCTTTGCCGACATAAAAACCACAGCGACGGTTCTATTTGTGTAAAAATGTGTGCTTTACAGAGTGTCTTCTCATGACACTTGTGACCTGCTCCCACTGCAGCTCTGCAGTGTGTAGTGTTGATTGTCACCTTTGCTTTACAGGTGAGAAAATGGAATCTCAAAGGGATTGGGTGGCTTGTAAAGGTTCAGCTGTCACTTGTCAGAGCTGGAGGGACCCCCAGGTCCCCTGTCTTCTGAGCAAAGTTGTCACTGCTGTGTTTGCCATGCTGAGTGGAGAGTGGGTGAGGGGAGGTGATGAGAACACGGACTTCGGGTCAAGCTAGACGCGCTGGTCCTGGCTGTGCCACTTATTAGCAAATGATTTGAGATGAGAGAGTTTTGGTTCTTTGAACTTCAGTTTCTTCATCTGTAAGATACAAAGGAAAACTCCTGCTTCACAGGTGGTTGTAAGGATTAAATGAATTATTATTTATAAAAGACGTAGCATAATTTCTGGTCCCTAGATGTACTAGTCAGTGATAGCAGTTTTCTTCTTTTGCCAAGTTCCTTTCCACAACTGTCAAGCTTTGTAAGAAATGTCATAGAAGCCAATAATTGGATTATTTTAGCCCTGAGGCAGCAATTGTTATTCTTCTAGAATTTTTTATAAACCATCAGGAGTGGGGTGAAAGAGGGAACCCAGTTACCCCAAAGTGGCACAGTGTGGTGAGGAAAGACTTGACTTGCTCTGGTGTGAATTTGAGTGTTTTGATAGTTTGCCCTGATTCTTTGGTTCCTGTTTCACTGGTCCATGCTGAGAGAGCTAAGTAGTTCTCAGCTCAAGTCCCCTTTGCCGTGAGAATCCGTCTGTTCTGACCAGGACCTCCTGCAATGGGGAGGGTGGTGTGGACGGACA